TTGTTTCAATTCATTTACAAATGGCATATATAGATTCAAGATCTAGGATTTATGATTGTATACATGCATATGTCATCTTTTGTACGATTAAGAAGTACCAATGAAATGTTAAATATATCGCAAGTTATACTTTCTATAGAATATAATGTTATGAGTTATTGTTATTATTTTGGGACATTATAACTTGGTATCAGAGATATCGGGTTTGAGTACTTTGGGATCGCGGGATGTGATTTTTACTATAATGGGTTTATCTCGCTAGATGATATTAGAAGTGGACCTGATATGCTGTGTGATAACATGTTTATGTGACTAAATAGGTATGGGATTTAATTTTTAAGATATTGATTGGGTCTACGAGTTTCTAGAAATCCTATTAGAAGAGCACTTGATCACTGCTATTTCTAATTAAAACTCTGGCAATGTCGGGGAATGATCATTATCTAAAAAGGAAATTCGTTTGTGATTATGTGATTCGGTGCTCATGTGGAATGAATTACTTGTTTTCCACAGTATTAGAACGTGAGTGAATTAGCTTGAGCACATTTATAAATGTGCTAATCAATGGTGTTACCTTTATTTGAATGTCCAGACAAGGATATGGTAATGCTAGGCGTGGCAGGCCTAAAAGGTAAGAGGTGTCAATACTGGATGAAATTCCAGCAAAGGAGGAGGGAGTTGGTCAGGCCAATGTGGCCGAGCTAACAGGTCAGCAAGCCATGGGCGCTTTAGCTTGCGAAATGGCCGGAGCATTGCGGGAATCTATGGACATTCTTAGGGCTGAGAGTCAAGTCTAGGCCCACGTTGTAGAAACAGGGCTGTCATTTTTGAAAATTCCACAGTATTAGAACGTGAGTGAATTAGCTTGAGCACATTTATAAATGTGCTAATCAATGGTGTTACCTTTATTTGAATGTCCAGACAAGGATATGGTAATGCTAGGCGTGGCAGGCCTAAAAGGTAAGAGGTGTCAATACTGGATGAAATTCCAGCAAAGGAGGAGGGAGTTGGTCAGGCCAATGTGGCCGAGCTAACAGGTCAGCAAGCCATGGGCGCTTTAGCTTGCGAAATGACCGGAGCATTGCGGGAATCTATGGACATTCTTAGGGCTGAGAGTCAAGTCTAGGCCCACGTTGTAGAAACAGGGCTGTCATTTTTGAAGAGGAAGTTATTTCGGTTGAATCCGGATGAGTTTATCGGGGATCCAAAGGAGCCACTGAAGGCCGATGAATGGCTAGAGCAGATGATAAAGACGTTTGAAATGGTTGGCATTGACGATGACAGGTTGAGGTTGACCTTGGCATCTTTTCAACTTAAGGGAGATATGGGTCAATGGTGGAAGTATGCACGATGTCGTATTAGGGTGACTTGGGGGAGGCTTTTGTCAATGCCTTCCAAGACAAGTTTTTGCCACCCACTGCTAGAGGAGAAGTTGAGGGAGCAATTTTTGAAGCTCAAGCAGTTGAACACACTAGTGGCCGAGTTTGAGGTGGCTTTCACAAGCTTATTGAGGTTTGCACTGGAACTTGTGGCGACGAAAGAACGCCATTACATCAAGTTCGAAAAGAGGTTAGAGACCAGGTTCCTTTTCAAGGTGATCTGATCTATGATTAGGGATTATGATCATCTAGTGAAGATAGCGGCTCACTTAGAGACCGTGATTCAAGAAGAGGATGAACGGATGAGAGGCTCCAGACAGAAGAACCAAGATGTTCAGGGAGATGCTAAGGACAACAAACGGTAAAAGGGTTCCACTCCACAGCAGTCCCAGTTAGCGCAGTTTAGATCGACCTTTCCCATACCAAGTTCTGGTTCGGGGAGAGGTAACCAGGGTGGTTTCACTTGCTTCAAGTGTGATCAGTTGGGCCACAAATCTTCAGTTGTCAGCAAAGAGAAGGAAGGCAATAGTCTATGCCGTCCTTGACTCGTTCTTAAGGTCAGGGCTAAGTGAGAGGCAATTGCCTACTTGTTATCAGTGTAGACAGTCGGGGCACTTGAGGAGGTTTTGCCCTCAAGGAGGTAGCACATCTGGTGCGTCTAGTTTGAGATAGACATAAAGCTATTAGCTTACCTAGTCAGCATAAGCCTCGAGGGCCAATCAGGGAGCCTCTTCAGCTCAATCCGTGTACACCTATGCTCTGAGGGGTGAGCAGGTAGAGTAGAGGCCTTCAAGGCGTGTGTATTCTGTTACCACACCAGATAAGTCACCAACACCTTCTGTTGTGAGAGGTAACTTTTTGTTGCTCAACTCTATTGCCAACATGTTGATTGATACTGTTGCATCTCTTTCCTCCTTGCAAAACACAGCTCGAGCGATTAAACCTTTGTTCGAGTGAAGAATATACATTCCTAGAAGTTCAAACTGCGAAACAAGATACTGGAAGGTCGACATTACCACTCGAGCGACGAAAGTACTACTCGAGCGATCCCAACTCAAAATAGACATTAGCTACCTTAATGCACTCCTATTAATCTCGGACTCACTCTAACACTCACAAATGCAAAACAACACCTCAAAACACACTAGGATGTACACGAGTAACTCTAAAGAAGAACGGGCAACAACATGAGACTCGTAAGGTTCCCAAGTAGCAACGATACCAAAAGAAGTGGAAATTCAAGATTGAAATACTTAATTTGTTTTAAAAAGAACTTGGGATATCACAATTTTCGTTTTTCATTGTACCAAATATAAAAAAATACATTTAAAGAAAGAAAAAAAAAACGCCCAAACAACTCTTGGTGTTGGTTGTGGCAGCAGACTGACAGTATAGTGGTGGTGTCAACGTGATGAAGGTGGCCATGGTGGTGGTGGCAACAACAATGATGGTAGCGGTGGAAATAATGTGATGCGAATGATAAAACTTTAGTCTAGAAAATATTTTTCACTTTTGAAAATAAAACTTTTTTTAAACTTTCCAAAAAAAAAAAAATTTGAAACATTTTCTGACTAAAATACTTGTTTTCCGTTAAAAGAAAATATTTTTTGTTAGACTTTTAAATTTTATTGTACCCAACACTAGAAAAAAAAAAAAAAAAAAAAAAAAAAAAACTCCCATACCTCAGTTGAATTGGTTTGTCACAAAAATTTATATGTATAAAAGCCAATAACACTTACAAGGGTAGATATCATCAGAGGATTAAGGTAATTAATTATGTAGTTAATTAACTGGAAAATGGTTCCAATATATACAAGAATCTATAGCATGTGTCAACAACAAAGAAATGAAATAGAAGTTAAATAGATAATTGAAATTACTTGAAGGCTACAACTTTCCTAGACAGTACTTGATTACATCACAACGGATTTAAATTCAATACAAAATAAGCCCTAGGCTTAATAATAAGAAGTAAACAAAATGAAGCTCTTGCTTCAATCCTCCCAAGCTACTACCTTGGCGAAGGCATCTCACCAATACCTAAAAATATTTTTCCTATATAGGGTGAGCCAAAACCCAGTAGAAATAATCCAACACAATATATTAATCTTAATAAAGATATAAGGGTAAAATGTATATGCAATGCTCATGACAAAACAATTTATATCTTTCCCAAAAGCCACATAATGCTGGGTCTATGTCATAGTTCTCCAAATCATTTCCTTTAAAATAGAAAATAGGGGGAAACTCAACTTCGTATAGCCTTTCACGGATATTTCGTCCGCGGGAAACCGTCAAACGGGACCCATGTAAACGTAGGCTATGCAAGCCCTACTATTACCATTTTACGGATATTTCGTCCGCAGAAATTGGCACCTATGTATGTGCGCGTTTTTCAGGACTTTTACCCTGGACACATAGGCCAACTTAATTTGGTGATGCACACCTCATTCCTACATTCACCCATTTTTCTCAAAATCACATACATGTATAATTTTTGCTCACCCTAGACACATAGGCCAACTTAATATTTTGCTCACTACGAAATATACACATTTTCATTCACTACAAGAATATATAATTTTTTTTAGTCATTGTTGGCCATCTATCAATTGCTAATCTTTTAGTCATTGTTCATGGTTGGTTTAGTGTATTTCTACTGGGCTGTGGCTCACCCTATATGGGAATATCATTTTCAGGTACAGGTAGCATGCCACCTCCAAGGACATAGCTTGGGAGGCTAGAGGCGGGCATACTTTTGTCGTTTTATTTTTGATGTATTACATGTAAATTCAAGCCAAGGGCTTAATGTGTAAATGAGTTAGTACTCTTTTGTTGTAACCAAGTGTTAACTTGGAAAGCTGTAAGCCCGTAGGGCATTTTGCTTTTGTTGTTAACATGTAATACTTTTGTAATGAAACTCTGATGAATAGAAGAATGTGGATATTTCGTATGTCAATGAATGTTTTATTTGATGGGTTTAATGTTGTTATTTCGAGGGCGTTACAAAATGGGCAAAGACAATTTTGGGAGGATAAGTGGTTAAATAATCAGTGTCTAATGGAGGAATTTCCTAGGTTATATAGGTTATCTGAGGAGAAGGGTAGCACAATTTTGCAGATGGCTCACAGAAGAGGTTCAGCACATGAGTGGAAGTTTCTTTTTAGAAGAACTCTGTTAGCTTGGGAGGATGAGGAGGTTGTAAGGCTGCAAAGGGTACTTAGGGACGCACCTGTACTCACATTGAAGTAGAGGATTCTTGTTTATGGCTGGCCAATCCATCAGGTTCATACTCTGCGGCTTCAGCATAGAAGTGGTGGGTGTTGTTGAAAGGTCCTGTTGTAGGTGTTGCTGATATGTTATGGAAGAATATTGCCCCACCCAAGGTGAAATTCTATGGCTGGTTAGCTTGGAAACGCAGACTTAGGCCAAGTTTGGGAAGATCCAAAAAAGCCAAAAAGCCAAAAAGGTACTCAAAAAGTTAAAAAGTTAACACTATTCACCAAAAGTCAACAATTACGGCTGCACAACTCCCAATTCAAATTTTTCCCTACAAATCAATTTTTACAATTTTTTATTACACATTTTTCAATAAAAAGTCAAAAAGTTAACCCAAACATCCATATTTTCAACCTCAATTTTTTAGTCCAAAAAGACAAAAAGTGCACTTTTTTAGTCTTCCCAAACTTGGCCTAAATCTATACACAAATTAAGATTTATGAGAGCACCTACCTCCATCACCACCCATCCATCTTTCCCAAATCCCACCTTCAAAATCTTGAAAAACCTTTGGCACCAATATTTTGACGGTAACGGTGACAACCATTTGATTACCTAAACTTCTCTGACAATGACAATGAGTGAAAATTTTTCTGGCAATCACAATTCCATAAAACGAAAGGAGTACAATAATAAAAGCTTAGAGGACATTCATAACTTTGATGTTATTAGCTCAGAGAAGATTGACCTTGTAAGGGTAAGTTTCTTGAAAAAAAATGATAGAAATATTAAAATATGTTCGTCACTTTTTCGGGACTGAACTCCCGAACATATGATCAAAATTCGAGAACACAGGCCCGAATTTTGTTTATTTGTTCGAGAACTGCTAACCAAACATTTATTATTTAGACCTCCCAGAAGTTTTCGTTTTTCTAAGTTCAGGAATACAGGCCCGAACATTACTAATTTGTTCGAGAACACATTCTCGAACATAGCTTATTTGTTCAGGAATACAAGTCCGAACATGAAAATTTGTCAACAATTTGAATGGTTAAAATTCTTAAAACTTCCTTAGTACCAACCACAAAATAACAACAGTAGACATGAGAGAGAGAGGAAAAGGCAAATAAACATGTCGGAAATCTATCTTTCTGGCCATAATCGGATGAGAGAGAGAGAGAGAGAGAGAGCATATCAGAGTCACAGAGTTACACTTCTTGTTCGTGGGTTTGAAAAGGATGAGGTTTTGTTAGGTCTTTTTTGGAACAAAAGTTTTTTTTGAGTGTGGGGGTGCACAGTCAATTATGTAGAATGTTTCAAGGATAATTTTGATATTATTTGGGGGGTCCAAAGAAATTTTTAGCGTTTCAAAAATTAGAAATAGGGATCCAAAAAAATAAGGGGTCCAAATTAATTCTTCGAGTGCTAATAACACTACTCAAAAATAAATCCAATTTTGTTTTGACAAAATATCATAAAAACCACATGAATTCACACCCATTTTAAAGATTGATAGAAATATATGTAGACATTAATGAAAATGCATACAAGATATAGTTACCTGTTAAATTTATGGGGACTAGTATGAACAACAACCATGGTTAGATTCAAAGGGGCATCGCCTTTTTCTCTTATCACAACCACCTCTACCAATTTCCCAACCTTGTCCCATATTATTCCGTAGAAGTAACACCCATGATTAATCGTAAGGAAAATAGAATCAATGGAGGCCACCTTGGTCCTGAAAAGGTTTAACCATGAAAATTAACCTCAAGTCAATTAAGTGACCAACACTATACTTAAGTCACACCCATGCTACCAATAGGGTTTTTTCTCAATTATTGTACATCTAACAACAATGATGATGAAGATAGTTCATGCTGCTTTTTTATATTCCAAACAAGGATAAGATTATACTATTTCAAAAAGCAATGTACTCTCAAAAATCTTTATGCACCTCCATAAAAGCATGAGAAAAAGAAAAACAAAAAACAGTAAGGCTATGTTTGAATCATGAATTTGAAGTTGATAATGTTTGTATCTGTATCGAGGATACACATAATATTCGTGCATATGTATAGATTAGTATACACATAATGTTCATTATATTAATCACACTAAATTAAAGAACTGAATTCTAAAGAGATAAAAATGATATTCACCTCATCAAATTCGATGCATTAGCAATAGTATTTATAGGTATAATGATTTTTAATATATTTATTTATGTCTAGAAATATGAACATAGCTACAAATATGCAAGTGCATCTTGATGCTTGCAGCAAATATTTCTTTTACTTTCCATCTTCATTGAAGCTTAAAAGAGATAAGCTGACATTCCCCCCTCCTGGAAAAAAAAGAAGAAAAAAAAGAGCAATCGTCATGTGCAAAAACTCAAACAACCTTAGGCAATCAAACACACCTTTCATTCAACCCAAGCATGGCCAAAAGACATTTTGTACCAAAGCATTCTATCAAACAGTATGTAGGTGATGGAAGAATAAGGGACTATTTAAATATTCAAAATGCAAATTACCCAACAATAAGGTCAACAAAAATGCAAGGATCACAATATTGAATGGGAAAAATGTTATAGTCTCTCTCTAAAATGAGAGCATCTCTCTCAAGAATGAGAGCCTCAGCCTAAATTTCTTCTGGTGTTTCTAGGGTTTGTCCCTCATCTCACCTCCTCCCTTTCTTTCCGTCTCTCTTCTCCATCCCTTGCTTTCCTTCCTTCTCCCCTGTTTTTTTTTCTATTCCTCCTTGGCAATGGACTATATGCCAGATCGCTCCCACCCATCCCCGTCGTCACTTCTCTTACCTATTGCCGATGGTTTATTCTTGGTCGAAGGTAGCGGGGAGAGTGAAAACACTTCCAGCCACTGTCTAATCGGAAAAATCTTAGCTCCCAAGCCCCTGAACAAAACGGCTGTGTCTAACATCATTCGAACCGCTTGGAGGACCCATGGTGAACTCACAATCTCTCTCCATGGAATGACAATGTGTATCTATTTCATTTCAGCGAGGATGATGACCGCCATTGCATCCTACGTGACAGTCCATGGACGGTTATGGGGTGGCTTTTGATTGTGCAACCCCTTTCTCCAAGTCAGACGGCAGAGGAATTAGACTTCACTTGATGCCCTTTTCGGGTTCAAGTCCATGGACTCCCCATTCAAAAACTCACCAAACAGAATGGCAATATTTTAGGGGGTAGGATTGGCTGTTTGATTCGTGTTGAAGCGCATACTAAGGGCCTTCTATTCTACAGAAGCTTTGTACGGATCAGAGTGGCCATTGACACCCAACAACCGTTACCCCGGGGTTTGTGGCTCCAATGGGGTCAGGGGAATGATGATATTTGGCTCACTTTCAAATATGAGAAACTCTCTAATTTTTGCTATGATTGTGGAAGGTTGGGACATGAGCATAATTCTTGCAAGTTTGTCTCTACAGAGGAACGTGCATCATCCCACTATGGTCCAGAGCTCCGAACTACTACTGCTGGAAATACTGGCCTTCCTAATGCATATTATCGCCGGGCAGTGGATGAATTAGAAGATAGTTTGGCACCTATCTTAACTGGCCGGAACAAACCACCAGAGTGTGCTTCAACAGTACGGCCAAAACCAGGGCTGTCGCCACGTACAGATACGTGCAGCACTCCTTCACAGCCTCTAAATCCCACTTCTTTGGCAGAGCCATGCGGAGGACAGAGCTCCAACCTCCCAACACCGCCACGTGGGGGACTTTGACAAGCTCCTTCTAATGCTGCCGTTGGCATTACGATTACTCCCATACAACTGTTGAGCCAGGTAAGCCCATTACCCTCTCCAAAACATAAGGCGGATAGTGGGCCTCCACCTAGACTAAGGCCCAGCTTTAGACTTGATCCACCTCATGAGCCGTCATCTGGGGCCCCCACTAGGCCCATCTATTTTGTGACAGAACCTCCGGATAGCCCAAACCACATTGGGACCATAGGCAATATTGACTCAGCCCAAATTTGGGGGCCTCCACAGCACGGTTTAAACGAGGCTTTTCCAGACAAATCTCCCTTTACCTCAGGCCTTGCACTTGAAGGCTGCTTTTCTCAAGCCCTCCAACACTTGACTCTTAAGAGGAAAGACTTTGCTTCTGAAGACCTAGACTCTAATTAGAAAAAACGTTAGAGGGTAAGAGGGGCTCTACCTCCACTACCACTGGAAGCCTCGAACTAGCAGGTTTTCATACCAATGATCAACTCAGTTGGCCATAGTTCCACTCCAGCAGATAAGAAGAAAGGCAAACATGGAAGACCTTGAGGCAAATGCCTTACTCCTTTAAGGGATTTATCTTTGGTGGATGTGGTAATTCAGACTGCTGAGCCAGATCTTGAGACACCGATACCGAGCCAGGTAACTTTCACTCCTTCTGTTATTGAGATTGAGGATTGTATCTCCCAAGTCCCCAATTTGTACCCCGAAACCGAAAATGATTCTGTTGTCAACCCATGAGCTTTGGTGGCTGCCCCTAAAAAGCCACAAGACATATGCTGATTATCAGCTGGAACTGTTAGGGGCTTGGGTGACCCCTAACAGTCCAGATCCTCCGAGGGTTGTGCCAGACACATCGCCCTGCAATAATGTTTCTCATGGAAAGCAAGAATAAACAATCTTATTTGGAAAGGATTAGGAGAAGACTCCATTTTACCAACCATTGCTATGTAGATCCGATGGGTATTGCTAGAGGACTCGCTTTGTGGTAGAAAGACGAGGTGGATCTCCAAGTGTGAATGAAATCTCAGAATGTCTTTAGGTGTATCATTGCCTCCAATGATGTTAGCACAGCTTGGTTAACTACCTTTGTGTATGCTCCTCCTCGTTGGGCTGAAAGGAAACGATTTTGAAATGCCCTTCACGAGATGGCAGTCTTGAATGGCTATCCTTGGCTTTGTTTAGGTGATTTCAACGAGATTGGCTGGTCTTGGGAAAAACAAGGGGTCAGAGAGGGCAACAGAGCCAGGATGCATTTTTTCCAAGAGTTTATGACGGATTGTGAATTAATGGATCTAGAGTTTAAAGGGGCTCCCTACACATGGACAAACAATCAGGGAGGAGAGGCGAATGTTTGTGAACGGCTGGATAAAGCTTTGGCCACCGTGGACTGGCGACACTTGTTTCTTTATGCTCAAGTCCATCACGAAGCTCTCATCGGGTCCAACCACTGTCCCTTGCTATTACATTGCTCGCTCCCTCCGAAGAGAATTCCTCGACTTTTCAAGTTTGAGTCTATGTTGACCTCTCATTTTGAATGTGCTAAGGTTATTAGCTTTTGCTGGGCAAAAAACAATCATGGGTCACCGATATTCCGTCTCTATACGAAACTCACGTCTTATAGCTGTAGATTAGTCACTTGGGGAAAGGCCAAATTTGGGGATAACCGGATCAGAATAAACTCTCTCAAATCCGAAATTCAACAGCTTCAAGCTTGCCCTTACTCTAATGCAAGAATGGCTACAATTCGCGAATTACAGAGGGATTTGGAAACTGTGTTGAACCAAGAGGAAATGTACCAACACCAGAGATCTAGGGTTAATTGGCTTAACTACGGGGACAAAAACTCCTCATTTTTCCATGCAACAGTGGTTTAGAGGAGGCAGAGAAATCAATTGGTGAAATTGCTATCTGAGGAAGGGGAGTGGTTAGAGTCGGATGGAGCAATCAATTAGCACCTACTCTCTTATTTTCAAAATCTTTTTCAAGTAGCGGATGACAGGGACTTTACAGAGGCCCTTTCGATGGTTACAAGCGAAGTTTCCGTGGAGGTAAATGTTGAGCTTATTAAACCTATTACCGATGAGGAGATCAAGTCGGCAGCCTTTCAACTTGGCTCTCTTAAAGCTCCAGGGCCAGATGGGTATTCAGGCATCTTCTATCACAATCACTAGGAAATTGTGGGTCCTGCAGTGTGCTTGGCAATTCGGGATTTCTTTAATGTGGGGTCTGTTTTTCCTAAATGGAACAACACTAATTCGGTCTTAATTCCCAAGGAAGCGACTTAGGAGAAACTTTCACAATATAGACCGATCAGCCTGTGTAATTTCAAAATGAAGATTATCGCTAAGCTTATGGCCAACCGACTCAAACGCTTTCTCCACCCTCTTATCTCCCCAAATCAGGCGGCCTTTATTTTGGGCAGACTAATTCAAGATAGTATTCTGGTGGCACATGAAGGGTTTCACTATTTGAAGCAGAAAAAAAAGGGGGAGACAAGTGGATTTAGCTTTAAAACTAGACTTCTCCAAGGCATATGATCGTATTCAATGGGACTTCCTCAAAGCTGTGCTTCAGAAAATGGGTTTTCATGACCTTTGGATCTGTTGGGTAATGACGTGTGTTACTACAGTCCAGTTTTCCATCTTTGCGAATGGGGAAAAGAGGGCATCCTTTACACCCTCCTGTGGCCTTAGACAAGGCGACCCGTTGTCTCCATATCTGTTTGTCTTGGTGGCTGAGACTTTGTCCAAGTTGATCGATGGGAAAGTTTGGGACAACCAAATTACAGGCATCAAGATGAGGACTTGCCCAGTGTTGTCCCACCTTTTCTTCGCCGATGATGTTCTTCTATTTTTCAAGGCTACTCTTGTGGAGAGTATGGCAATGGCTCAGACTCTCCAGGTATATAGCTCGGCTTCGGGTCAACACCTCAATTTCGGTAAATCGGAAGTTTTCTTCTCAGCCAACGCTCCTCTGAAGTTGAAAGGGCAGATCTGTGAGTTGCTAAGCACTCCACTTGCCAGGCCAAATGCCAAATATTTAGGACTCCCATCATGGTGGGGCCGATCCAAATCTGCTGCTTATGGTGTTTTGGTGGACAGGATGGTATCCAAAATGCAAGGTTGGAAGAATAAACTACTTTCCCATGCTGGAAGAGAAGTCTTGTTAAAGGCGGTAGTCCAAGCAATTCCTTCATATGCTATGGCGTGTTCTGCCTTTCCTAAATCTTTTGGTGCTAAGGTTAATAGAGTCATTCGGAACTTTTGGTGGAAGGGAGATCCAATGAATAGAGGAATTCCCTGGGCCAATTGGGAGAAAATGAGTTTTTCAAAATTCCATGGGGGTATGGGTTTTCATGACTTCTCAGCCTTTAATCAGGCCATGTTAGCTAAACAGGGTTGGAGACTTATCACCAATCCACATTCCTACTGGGCACAACTCTTCAAAGGACTGTATCCAATTTCCTCTGTGCTACAACTGGAGCGAGATCTTCGTGGGCCTAGACTAGTTTGCTTCAGGGGAGGGATCTCTTGAACAAAGGGATGCGATGGCAGGTCCAAAATGGTGAGTCTATTTAGTTCTGGGATGATAAATGGATACCAACAGTGCCTTCTTTTCAGATTTCTTCCCCAAAACCTCCACATTGTGACAGTTTTAGATGCAATTGATCCCATAAGGAAACAGTGGAAAATTGAGGACATTCAACACTTTCTGTCTAGTGGTGATTCCCAAGCAATTCAGCTCATTCCCATTTCGCTGGTGGACAGAGAAGACCGGCTGCTTTGGCATCTTAACAAGTCTGGGCTGTATTCGGTAAAATTTGATTATTGGGTGGCAAAGATGTCCAAGCAAGAGAGTTCTCAGTCACAACCGTCCAGCTCTTTTCAACTTCCCAAGGGTTCTGGAAGAATCGGAGGAACATTAAGGCCCCTCCCAAACTCAAGCACTTTTGGTGGCACTTTGTAAGAATCTTTTGGCTTCTAAGGTTAATCTCCATCGACGGCGATGCTCAACCTCTCAGGTTTGTCCTATTTGCTTGAAGGATGACGAATTGGTAGAACATTTGTTATTTGATTGTCCGTGGACTCAAGCTGTGTGGTTCGACAGCCTGTTGAATATTAGAATTGAGAAAGGGTCTGGTGAATGTGGCAGAATGAACGAATAGTTGGATGCAATTACAGCGGCAGGTTGATGGCATGGATTTGGTCCTCAACAAAATTGTATTCATTGGGTGGCATATTTGGAAAGCGAGAAATGCCTTCTTATTCAATCAGGTCCCTATTGACCCCATGGCTACAATTGAGAAAATCGCTCAGGTGTGGTATGAATACCATGCACATTGCCAAATAGGCCACACTGCTCACATTGCTACACTAGTTCCAGCACTGGTGGAGGCTGAGGGATGGCAACCTGCACCTCTTGGGGAGTGTAAAATCAATTATGATGCAAGCTTTAACAAATACAAAGCCATAGCAACTGCTGCTGCTATTATGAGAGACTCTGCGGGCCATGTTATTGATGGCTTTGTCTCCTCCTTTCCAGCTTCCTCTGCCTTTGTGGCTGAAGCCCATGCTGTGAGAATGGCGGCTATGAGGACCCAAGCCCATGCTGTGACTGTTTTGAAGTTATAAAACTGGGAGTGGGTGAAACCGTGCCCCCGTGGGAAGGATTGGCAATATTACTTGACATCCGCCATCTGGTCAGAGTGGGGAATGTGCAGTTGAAGTGGACTAACAGAAACAACAACTAGGTTGCTCATTGGGTAGCAAAGAATCATGCTTGCAATCTCTTGCCTTTGAATTGGGTGGCTAACCCACCTGCAGCTCTTGCTGCTCTCCTTAATGGTGATGTAACTTTTTCTGTAAGTTGATTTTATATATATTCCCACCGTTCAAAAAAAAAAAAAAATGCAAGGATCACAAATGAGTATACTAGCAAATTGCCCAACAATAAACCCACATGCTTATGTAAATTCCTCAAGAATCAAACCAAGATGCCACAGCATATGAAATTTCCTAGGAAAATAGTAGAATTAGAAAATTACTTGCAGTTGTAAGGAGTAGCATATTCACTAGATTTCAAGCCCCAACCTTGCTTCCATTTGAGCGTCGTTGTCTCCTGACATCCTTTCAAGTACTATGCAAGAAAAAGGTTAAATTACACTTTGCACTCTTACATTTTGCACAAAATCTCACTTTGGTCCCTACACATGAAATCGTGATAGTCAACTCCCTGCACTTTTGGTCAAATCCCACTTTGGTCCCTACATATAAAATTGTGGCAGTTAACCCTTGCATTTCTGGTCAAGTGTCAATTTGCCCCTTATGGTACTCAATTATTTAAGTTTTTAACAAAATCCAGTCATGTAACAAACATGTGACTATGAAATGAGGGCAAGAAAGGAAAATCATTATCATTTCCCACCACTATACTGTCCCACGTGATAAGCATGTGAGAGTTATATATATACATACATATATGTGTGTGTGTGTGTGTTCATATGCTGAAAATTAGGACAAAAAGGTAAGACAGTAGAGCTTTTGAATTTAAAAAAAAAAAAATGCAGCAGAGAAATCAAAGACTATTATTGTGGAAAACAAAGTTTCATTATTCCAATTTTTGCAAAACTCTAGTTTATCTCCTTAATCGTTCAAAATTTACGTTTTGTTTTAGCTGAATACAATCAAAATTTAATATAAATTTTAGGACAAAATGTGTATAGATAGGAAATTTGGGTGATTTTTCTCTTTTGCTATCATCTTATAGTCATATGCTTGTTATTGACTGTCACGATTTGACCAGAAGTGTAGAGGGTTGACTATCACGATTTCATGTGTAGGAACCAAAGTGAAATTTGGTGCAAAGTTCAAGGGTGCAAAGTGTAATTTACCCCAAGAAAAAAGTAATACCAAATTGTATATGGACGCAACCGGAACTCATTCATGAAATAGAGAATATTTTGCTTCAAACACCACATCTAATCTGTCTGAAAAAAATCATATTGGAAACATAAATTTGCTGCTATGCTTATGGTAGCATTTCATTACAATTACGACATCAATTGGCAAATCTTGATTCACAACTACAACATTTTAAAGTATAAATTAACCACAATATATAAATTCAATGTGGAAGGCCCTACTATACACACACACACACACACATGTATATATAATTAAAAAAAAAAGCACTGAACAGTTGAAGCTTGCATGAGGAAATTCAAGGTAATATGAACCGTGATCATAGATTGAAACAGCAGTAAGTTGATGGAAAAATAATTAATTACACAGGCACATAATGTTTTATTCTTTCAGAAACATAAATTACATCAGCTCAATAAATAAATTATTTTAGACATTATGTATACTTATATTGAGTTTAATGATTAAATATTATTTTTTTCGTCGATTTTATTTAACAAAAATAAATTATTTAATTAAATTAAAAATAAATCAAAAAATTAATATTTAAATTGACAAAATTAAAAATTAAAAATTAATTTTATTAAAAGACTCAAATTTTAAAATTTTTCTTTAATTGTCCTTAATTATTATTTATTTTTTTTATAAATTTTACTTTATTAAAGTTTTATTAGTTTTTCAAATAAAAATAATAATTTTTATGGTAACTCATTTGGTAACTAGAGGCACTTTGTTTCTCAAAAAAAAAAAAAAACTGGAGGCACTTTAAATTGAAGAATATGTCAAATCAATAAAAATTAATCATATTTTGATAAAATTAATTAATTATATAGTTAACTTATTTTATAATAATTATACAATAACATATTTACATATAGTGATAGCATTAAATATATAAAAAGTGTCTAATGGAAAGTATTTGATATATATGTCACACCCTCGTTCTAGTATCGGGTATTCAACATGGATATTTGATTGATTTTCAAGAGTATATAACATGAGAGAGAGTAAGTTAAAACCAAAATTTGTACTAAAACATTGAGCATTTGACTCCATAGCACTGAAGAATTTAGTTGCACATTTGAAAGATATCACATGATTCAAACAAACAAGCTATTGTATACCAAATCAAGTATAAACATGAACACAACTAAATATCACTTAACAAGTGACAAATGCAAAGAGTAAAATATAGTATAATGAAAAAAATGTAAAGATAGATGCTTCTAATATCATCCCTAATGTATATGTAGCTACTAACAACACTAACCAATCTAGGTATCCCTCAAAAAAGAATTTAAATGAACAAAAGCAATAAGCTTTAGCTAAAATTAGTTGACCTACCAATTGAAGAGTCCAGCAAGTTAAACCTAAATATGTAAACATTGAGCATTTGACTCCATAGCACTGAAGAATTTAGTTGCACATTTGAAAGATATCACATGATTCAAACAAACAAGCTATTGTATACCAAATCAAGTATAAACATGAACACAACTAAATATCACTTAACAAGTGACAAATGCAAAGAGTAAAATATAGTATAATGAAAAAAATGTAAAGATAGATGCTTCTAATATCATCCCTAATGTATATGTAGCTACTAACAACACTAACCAATCTAGGTATCCCTCAAAAAAGAATTTAAATGAACAAAAGCAATAAGCTTTAGCTAAAATTAGTTGACCTACCAATTGAAGAGTCCAGCAAGTTAAACCTAAATATGTAAACATTGAGCATTTGACTCCATAGCACTGAAGAATTTAGTTGCACATTTGAAAGATATCACATGATTCAAACAAACAAGCTATTGTATACCAAATCAAGTATAAACATGAACACAACTAAATATCACTTAACAAGTGACAAATGCAAAGAGTAAAATATAGTATAATGAAAAAAATGTAAAGATAGATGCTTCTAATATCATCCCTAATGTATATGTAGCTACTAACAACACTAACCAATCTAGGTATCCCTCAAAAAAGAATTTAAATGAACAAAAGCAATAAGCTTTAGCTAAAATTAGTTGACCTACCAATTGAAGAGTCCAGCAAGTTAAACCTAAATATGTAAACATTGAGCATTTGACTCCATAGCACTGAAGAATTTAGTTGCACATTTGAAAGATATCACTTGATTCAAACAAACAAGCAATTGTATACCAAATCAAGTATAAGCATGAACACAACTCAATATCACTTACCAAGTGACAAATGCAAAGAGTAAAATTTAGTATAATGAGAAAAATCTAAGGATAGATGCTTCTAACATCACTCCTAATGTATATGTAGCTACTAACAACACTAATCAATCTAGGTATCCCTCGAAAAAGAATTTAAATGAATACAAGCAATAAGCTTTAGCTGAAATTAGTTGACCTTGAAGAGTCCAGTTGTGAAAATATATTGTGTATATTCTCAATTTGGCATGATTGTGTATATTAGGAATTAGGAACGATTGTGGTGTAAATATTTGAATTAGCTGTATTTCCTTTTTTAGTCATAGGTTTAGGGTTATATAAACTGACGAACTCTTTGTAAATAAGATACAATTGAATATACAGTTTCATTTAGAAAACTTACATGGTATCAGAGCTTGGTTGGGCTTGTGATTGGTGTAGCATTTGTCCGGCTAGTATATGTTGTCCTCCAGGGGAGTGTGTTAGAATATGTCCCACATTGTTTGGAGTTGCCCTATCTGTGCTAGTTATAAGCCTCTAGATTCCCTCTCCTTAATACTTGAGTTTTAAGGTGAAGTGTGGGTTGGTCTTTTCAATTTGGTATCAAAGCTTTTCCTTTTGAAATCCCTCTTGATGAGTACATCTCTACTGTTCCCCTTGAATTTGTTCCCTCTTTTTCCACTGAACCCCATGAATCTGCTCTGTTTCTCCTCCTTCTCCCCAGCCTACTCCTCCTCCTCCTCCATGGCTAGTTTATTCTCGTCGCCAAACTCTCCCTCCAAAAGTTGTCTTTGCCCCTACTGTTGACCCTTCTGCTTTTGACAACTCTGATCCTACTGCACACAGATATCCTACTAGAGAGCGTCATTCTCCAAACAGGTTGGGTTGGTCTAATACAAGTTTTTCTGCTTCCTATCGCACTTTTTTGTCTGCTATTCATTTTTTTTTTTTAGAACCTCAGTCTTACAAGGAGGCCTGTCAGGATCCCAATTAGGTTCGAGCTATGAAGGATGAGTAGTTTGTCTTACAGAAGACTAATAGTTGGGCGTTTGTCCCATTGCCTGCTGGCAAGAATCTAGTTGGTTGCAAATGGGTCTATAAAGTTGAGACTCATTTTGATGGTTCTCTCGAGCGAAACAAAGCTCGCCCAGTTGCCAAGGGTTTCTTGCAGGAGTACGATATTGATTATGATGAGACGTTTACCTCTATTGCCAAGATGACTACTGTCTGTACCTTGATTTTTGTTGCCGTTATTCGACATTGCTCCCTCTATCAAATGGACGTTAAGAATGCTTTTCTTAATGGTCATCTCACTGAGGAGGTCTACATGCGTCCACCCCCTAGCCTTTCCCAATCCTCAGGACAAATTTGTTGTCTTCGGCGCGCTCTGTATGGTTTGAAGTAATCTCCTCGTACTTGACATGGTCACTTTCAGACTGCTATTACTAAGCTTGGATTTCATCCTTCTGCTTCTGACTCTACTTTGTTTCTGTGACATACGTCGGCTGGTTTTGTTGCTCTCTTACTATATGTGGATGATATGATCATCACTAACTTTGACTCTTCTGCTATCTCTGAGGTCAAGCAGCATCTCTTCCGCACCTTCGAGATGAAGGATCTGGGTCCATTGCAGTATTTTCTTAGTATTGAGGTTACTTTTTCTCCAAAGGGCTATTTTCTATCTTAGGCTAAGTATGCTAATTAGGTCACTCACTGTGCTGGTCTCACTGATACTAAGGTTTCTGATACACCTACTAAGCTAAATGTGAAGCTCAACTCTACTGATGGTGTCCCTCTGGTTGATCCCACTTTATATCACGAGCTTGTGGGTTGCTTAGCCTATCTGACGGTTACTCATCCTGATCTTGCCTATGTTGTTCATATGGTTAGCCAGTTTGTTTCTACTCCTCGCTCCACACATTGGGCTACATTGGTTCAGATTCTTCACTATCTTCGAGGTTCTATGTTTCAGGATTTACTATTGTCCTCTACTTCTTCTCTAGATTTGGTGGCTTATGCTAATTCTGATTGAGCTAGTAATATTACTGATTACAAGTCTACGTCTAGTTTCTGCATGTTTCTTAGCAATTCCTTGATCTCTAGGAAAAACAAGATTGCATGTTTCTTAGCAATTCCTTGATCTCTAGGAAAAACAAGAAACAAATTGTTGTTGCTCGCTTTGCTGCCGAAGCTGAGTACCGTGCTATGGCTCATGGTACTGCTGAGATTGTTTGGCTTCGTTGTCTCTTATCTGATTTGGGTGTCCCTCAGTCTTCTCCGACCTCCCTCTATTGTGACAACTATAGTGCTATTTAGATTGCCCACAATATTGTCTTCCATGAATGGACGAAACACATTGAGATTGATTGTCATTTTGTCGGACAACATCTGCAGTCTGGCTCTATCTCGCTTCCTTTTGTCTCTTTGGCTTTGCAACTTACGAACTTCCTCACCAAGACTCACACTACGGCTCGGTTTCAATTTCTTCTTGGCAAACTTTCAATGTTTTCTACTACAACACCTTGAGTTTGAGCGGGGAAGTGAGAATATGTTGTGTATATTCTCAATTTGGCATGATTGGGTATATTAGGAATTAGGAACAATTGTGGTGTAAATATTTGAATTAGTTGTATTTCCGTTTTCAGTTATAGGTTTATATAAATTGATGACTCTTTGTAAATAAGATACAATTGAATATATAGTTTCATTCAGAAAACTTACACCGGCAACATTTCAGGCCCTTATAAATTATCAATAAAGACACCAAAATAAAATTTTCATACCTATCAATTTTCATGACATATTACTATTTTTTATAAGCAACAAAAACAAAAACTAAAATTAGCACTTGTCCATACAAGAAACATCCAACAAAGAAAGAGA